TCCCCTACTCTTTTAGTAATATCTCTATGCTAGCCATACCCTTTCGATAACCTCATTACAATTAATCATGATGTAAAAACACAAGGTGTGGCGTTGCGTATCCCTTTTGATTGACCGCAATTAGGAATGCTTCCATCATGTTGCCATGTCTGTCTGCAAATTTCAAAAGCTTTTAAAATACCAATTAAGCGTATTAACATCAAGAAACTCATGAAACAGTATATATTTTTTATTTCAATAATTCCATTCCAGTTTTTTCAGTAACCAAACGCATAATTCATGAACATTTACACAGAAAAAACTGACTGAATAGGTAAGCATTCATAAATTGATGTATATGTATGTCTATTTTAAGCGCGCGGTGGCTCAGTCGGCTAGGTCGTGGATTGACACACACGGGAGACCGTGGTTCGATTTCCGGCCAGTGCGACTTTTCGGGCAAGTACCTCTGTGACTTTTCTCATGTGCTTTTTCACTACGCAATACTCCTCGAGGAGGGTTTTAGGCGACCTTCTCGCAGAAAAATTGCCTAATTTCCCCCTACCCCCTCTCAGTAATGGGAGGCCTCCCATCCCTCTTCCTCTCCTTTTCCCAAGTCTGAAGTGCCCATAGTAGTGCCCTTATCAAAGGAGCCGGTCGTAGAGCACTATTATATAAAAAAAGTGTATGTCTATTACTACGTATATATCTCACTTTGAGGTGGATGCATGGGACAGGTTTTAGTTTCAACTTTGCAAAGGTTGCCATGGCCACTTCGTTTCATTTTATAGGCACTTAGGCACTGTATACAGTTATAACTATAGTACTCACATCTCCCTCAATCCCTCAAATATGGCGTCGCGATGGAAGGCGCAGAATGGCACGAAAATGAGACCTCGGAATGCAACACCTTGTACTTTTACATCATGATAACAATGCTGGCCAGGGCCTGGTGTTCAGCTACGGCCGTCTAGTGTTCATTTCTTGTCGGGATGGGCGTTTAGCAGTCTGGAGACTGCAGTCTTCGCTGGGCGATTCAATATTCAATGCAAATTGATAGAAATCAATATTTATTTTTTTTTGCATTAGGTACAACAGACACCTTGTTTGCAATGAAGCTAGACTCTGAAGTTTTATTTTGATTTCAGAAACTGGTTTGGTAAAACGTAAAAGAAAAAAATTGAGTATAAAAGTATAACAAACGACTAGTCGGTAAACAGAAAAATTGTGTTAACAGACTGCCAGCAGAAACTAGTCATTTGTTATATTTACTCGAAATTTTTTTTTACTTACTACCAAAATCAGTTTTTGAAATCAAAATACGACTTCAGAGTCTTGTTTTATTTCAAACAAAGTGCCTGTTGTACCGAATACAAAATAAAAATAAATATTGATCTCTATCAATTTAAATTAAATTTCCCGCCAAAGCTTTGGCTGGCAGTCCCCAGACTGCTGGGGTCTGATCAGGGCATTCGACGCATGCGCATTATCGTCGTTTTTGGTTATTTTATAGGGATTATCGAAAAAACTGCTTATTCGAGCGAGATATCGAATGCCTCTATCAGACCCTTAGGGTGCCAGTACACAGAAGACCTGCTGTTTGGCAACTGCCAGTCAAAGCTCACGGAGGCGGCTAAATCACACACTGATAGAGGTAGCAATAGGGTTGGAAGCATAGACATATAAAAAATAGACTGCTCGTTCTTATGTACGGCGCTGAAGCACAAGTAGAAAGAGACACAATATCGAACGTGTATATCTGTCTCTCTCGCACATTGCCTACTTGCCTGAGACTTGTGAAGTTGGCGCCCATTAATATTAAATATTAATATTTCGCACTCATTTAGGGCTTAAACGATTTCTCCTTACTTGTAGATTTATCCTCTACTTGAATTTTTATTTGCGGATCAATAGTTTGCGAGATATTTGCAAAATAAAAATTTGAAAGTGGGCGCGGCGCTGAAGTATAAAAAACTTTGTTTTAAGTGCTAAATTGGGTTAAAATCCAATTCTACCTAAACGATTTGATTCCTCCTCATTTGCGGATTACGGAGGTATATAAATTAATGTAATTAAATGTCACAAAGTTTGTAAAAGATGAATTTAATGAATTTAAGCATTCAAATTTCGCGCGTAAATGATCAATCAGGCAAATTGAAGATCAAGTTACCGACTAGTGGCAACGGATCAAATTGACACAGGCTGTGTTCGCCTAAGGCTTTGTTTGTTATTAGGTTTGTTAAGGTCACGTAATCATTCATCATAAGTGCGAGTGAGACGTTGATATCATGCTGTCTCCCTCGCACGTATGATGAATGATCACGTGACCTTAACATACTACAAACGGAGCCTATGCAAACACAGCCCCAGTAATAAATTAACAAGTACTTAATTTTGAAAAATGTTTATTAAACGGGTTTACACTAGATTGCATAGTCATCAAAAAATGTGTGTGTGTGTGCGTATTGACCCGAAGGCTGAATAACTAATAACTGATAATTAATAGATTAATACCTACTAAAGTTTTCTATGCCGATAAATATTTTGTAGAACCCGCTGTAAGGAGTAAGCGACATGTACCGAACAACAGGAACGGAGCACTGGATCAAAAGTCACTAGACAAAAGTTACTAGATTCTCTCACTCAATAATTAAATTCATCATTTACAAACTTTGTAACATTTAATTACACAAATTTATATATCTCCGTAATCCGCAAATGAGGAGAAATCGAATCGTACAGGTAGAATTGGATTTTAACCCAATTTAGCACTTAAAACAAAGTTTTTTATACTTCAGCGCCGCGCCCATTTTCGACTTTTTATTTTGCAAATATCTCGCAAACTATCGATCCGCAAATTAAAATTTAAGTGGGGGATAAATCCGCAAGTAAGAAGGAATCGTTTAAGCCCTGAATGGGTGCAAAATATTAATATTTAATATTTACGGGCGCCAACTTCACAAGTCTGGCCATAGTTCACTGACCCCCACCTTTGGCAATGTGCAAGAGAGACAGATTTACACTTTCGATGTTGTGTTTTTTTCTACTCGTGCTTTAGCGCCGTATATAAGAACGAGCAGTCTACATTTCTAGAAATAAGCTTTATTTGTGTATGCTTTTTCCTATCACCGTTTCCCTCCAGGTCTTCCTAGAGAGAAAAAAATACTCTTTCAACCCTGTTGCTGTCTCTCTCAGGATGCGAATCAGCCACCTCCATAAGAGTGCCTGGTCTATCCCATTGGAATTCTAATAGGTCTCGTGACTCGTGACTCGTGACTCGTGACTCTCGCGATATATATAGTCACTGGGGGAAAAAATAACACACGCCTAATGGGTGCATTCTATTTTTATTTTTTTTACACGTACAACGATTGTAATACGATAAAAGCCTTTAAATAGTATATTTTTGAGGACATGACAATACCTTAGCGTTTTTTTTCTAACTCAATTAGTGTTTTGTAGCTTAAAATCAGAGAATGTAGAAACACATTCCTTCATGTTTCTATATTCTCTGGTAAAACTTTCCTTCAAAAGTGCGAAAACGTACAACTAACCTGTACAAAGTTCTTCCGTTTCCGACTATATATTGGAAAACAAGCAGGATTTTGGTAAGGTTAAATGTGCGTTTTTGCACTTTCAAAGGAAAGTTTTAGGCTGTAAAAGTCTAATTAAGTTGGGAAAAAATAGCTAAGGTATTTTTATCTTCTTAAAAATATGTTATTGAAAGGCTTTTATCATATTACAATCGTTGAACGTGTAAAAAAAATAAAAATAGAATTGCTCCCGTAAGGCCTGTGTTATTTCTCCCACTAGTGACTATACATACTGAGAGTCACGTGACTTTTTTGAATCCTAATTTAACGTCTTTGGAATAGCCTGAATCCTGAATACACCATTTTCCGAATCTGCCCGACAATTGGCTCAAACAAGTCTATTAGACCAAGAGGTGAGGCTGGAGGGTGGTCAAAATCTTAACCAGCCGCTACTCTTACCAAAATGGGGAACTTTATGACTTGTACAGATTCGAAATATTTTAGTTATATTTTATTTTGGTAAAGAGTTTTATTGGTGTTAAAAAAGTACCTCATAGGCTATTTTATAAACCAGTCGCAACTTAAACCATTTGATGAAAAATAAATAATTGTGATAGTGCCATTGGCGGCAAGATTAGAATGCATTTTGTACCAAAAAATCGACCTTAAAAAAATAGATTTTGCAACATTATCTATAATCTTATCTACCACGTGTTTCATTTTAGATGATTATTATAGATACGACAAGCATTACATAATCGGTATGGAAAGGTCGTTTTCTCAACTTCATTGAATCCAAAAATCGCCGGAACTTTAATTTTGGAATTATTGTGAAAAAAATTAACTGGCAAAGGTGTGGCTTAGTTTTGATTTTTTGCAGATTTTTTGTAGCGGTTCTATTTTTTTCAAGGTCGGTTTTGGGGTATAAAATACATATTCTTTTTGCCGCAAAGGGCACTATTTATTATTTCATATTATTTTTCATTTGCTATCCATTGACTTCAGTTGCGGCTGGTTTATAAAATAGTTAAAATGGCACTTCTCGAATACCGACAAAACTCTTTACCAGAACAAAATATGACCAAAATATTTCGGACCTCTACGAATTATAAGGTTTCTCTATTCTGGTAAATTGGCGGCTGGTTCAAGATTTTGACTGCCCTCCGGCTTCAGCTCTTGGTCTATGTTACATTCATCTGCGGCGTAAGTGCTCCAACGACTGCAACGCACCAATGTATGCACAATTTAGACAAGTAACGAAGTAACTCATATTGCTAGCTCTGTTTCATTTTTTACGTTTTATTGCTGACAAGGAATGTGCATTCTCAGCTTAGACATGTAACTTAATAAATTTTTTTTTCCATGGCTTGTGACAGTTACAGTAAATGTATAAATCGTGTGTTACTTACATGACCTGTAGGAGTAGGCACTGCTGTGTGGATAATTTTGATGGTTCCAACAATCCATCAAAATTAGTGTAGTTGAGTATTGATCCTTTGCTATCAACATTTTCCAAAGCTTAAATTTACTGTTATCAGAAAAATTATTCTATTAGTTTATTTACAAATAAGATTACTGAAACAGTTGCAACTTCTCTGGATTATTAGTGTTAGTAATGTTGTGTGAGAATTAAGTGTATTAAAAAGGTTGCACGTTAAATTTATTTTAAGTTTAGTGTTCTTCGGAAGATGTTATTAGTGTTGCTAAAATAGAAATGAGCCAGTTTCGTACTGAAGATGTGAGTGGGCATCAAAATTCCACCGAAAGTAAATCAACTAGGGATCTACATCAGAGTTCCTCCCATTCAGAAGTTTTGTCCAAGTCTGATTCACAAGATGCCACAGTGCACTCCTCCCATTCATTTATATCCAACCAAATCCGCCCTGAATATCCTGACGACTTCTTGATTAAGCCTTTAAATGAATATCCCCAGGGTAAACAAGTAGCTGCAGAATACTTAACTAAATGTACAAGCGAATTCGGATCATCAAAGCAACTGGAACCATATCATTCAAAACAATTATTATCGGAAAGTGATAGAACACATTCTACAGATGCTGATGACAACTTTGCCATTTCAAAAGTAGATATTCGTTTGAATCATACTGTTTCTTCATCAGTTCCATTTTCAGGACAACCAAGGTTTTTACCTGGTCAAAGTTTATCTCAAGCAACTGGTCCAACACCTACATTAAATCAGCTTCTTCAAGCTTCAAGTCCTGTTCATAGGTTCCACAGTTACCCATCGATTGGATCAGATTCTTATCAACAATCATGGCCTTTACCAAGACCATCAATCGTTCCACCTGCATATCCATCACCTAACCAGAGACCACCCCAGACGGTAGGGTTACCATTTTTGTATTTTATGTTATAATATATTTTATGTTACTTAAAGAGAATTTAATATAATTTATAGCTTGTGAGTATCATAATGCTTGTAGGAATCTATTTCAACATGAAAAGACATAATAGACTTAGTAAAGCCGGATACGTAAAATTGCAAACAACACAAGTTTAAACTCAATCAGAATGCTGGACGAAAGTTTAAGAAATTAAAAAATTGTTGAAACGGGTTTTTTTACAGTAAACGAAAAAACTAAGTAGGTATTTGAACAAAAAAGTGTACCATACATGAAAGTGCGTAATGAAAAGACTAATCAAATAAGTTTTCTTGATCTCCGAGCGGTTTCATAGTTTTCAATGAGATGGAAAAAACCCACTTTTTGACCATTTTCTCAAAAATTTATAACGTATGTTTTATTAAATATTAAGACTTGACATTTTAACAAAGTATGTGTTTTAAAAGCAACAGTATACATACCGAATTTTACAAGCTTACTAATGAAGATCGGTCCGAAACTTTTTGAGAAACTTTGAAAAAAATGCATAAATATCTATATGGGTAAATGATGCAATAACTGCGTACTCGACGGTAATACATAATGAGAAAAACCTACTCGGAAATTCGTGGGCTCAGATAGTGTAACACGTTCAGACATTAAAAACCTTCAATTCAGAATCATACTTTACAACATGACATTTATAATTGTTGATAATAAATGTCATGATAACTAAATGATTTTAAACGAATCTAACCTACAAAACTTTAAAGTCGTGCGCAACAATTGGGTCTGGGCTTCAGCATGTAAACCTTATGGGAGATACCCTCTATGTAATTGGGGGCGTAGCGACTGGTGCTGATTTTATAACGGTACGCAGTAATACAAGCGAGTCATATGAGCATTAAAAAAAAATTTTAACTAAATGATTTTTTAATTAGTACATTGATAAAGTAAGATATCACAACGCAAGTCCTTATAAAAAACAGCGTTTTTCGTGTTACTTTTTATCATTTAATTATCAAACAAAATTATTTACGACATCTACTGTTATATTAACATAATTTTATTATAAAAATAATAATTGACTTTTCGGCGCTCGCAGCTTGCATATGAAATAAATGTGTACTTATTATGTATTTGTTCCTATGCTGTTTACTTAACAACAATTTTTAATGCTGAATATTATAATTCAATAAGAGATATTACTCGAGATAATGTAATATATATGTACACATACATAAAAAAGTTGTCCCGTATTTGATGACAAACTTATTCAATTAACTCTATTTTTTATTGAAATCGGAAAGACTTGAGTATACTAAGTATTTGAATTAAAGATGCTTGTTTATAATTTAACATTGTAAATTAGTTACAATCAATACACACGCGCTTACTGGACGTGCTTTATCAGTTGATATCATTACTAAGAAGAAAAGAAAGAATTGCATCACTTGTTACTATTTATCGGAGCTTAGTTAGTATAGTTGATCTCCATTTAGAGGTATCACTACCGTTTCATACAATGCAGCTAGTATTGTTACTTTTCCCAGACACAAAATTAAAATTATGCTTTTTTTCGGAGCCGCCATGTATAAAACTCGAATAAAACATAATTGTCGATGCTGTTTTTGAAAGCATGAATTTATTTTAATAAATGTACTAACATAGTAGCTGTAAAAAAGAAAAAAAAATACGCAGATGCGATTCGAAGGTACGACCAGCAAAAACGAGAACGATTAGATCCACTGAGCTACGGCGTTATATGAAAGAACGGGTACAGGTGTAACAAGCATATCAGCTGAGAAGTGGGCTTGGGTTAACCATACATATATCACATGGAAAGGAAGAGTAGGAATAGGGGAACTGGGGTAGAAACTCTTTCAAGCTATACTCTAGTAGCGCCAGCCTATAGCCTGTGAGTCTCTATGGAGTACTGAACTCTGCTTTGAGGGGAATGTCGTCTCGTCTGGCATCACTAATACACATGCATGTGAGAGCTTCGAGCTACAGCGAGAGCCAAGAGGCCCTTGAGTAAATAGCTCAGAAAGGCGGCAGCTCTATATTAGTGTTAGTAATGTTGTGTGAGAATTAAGTGTATTAAAAAGGTTGCACGTTAAATTTATTTTAAGTTTAGTGTTCTTCGGAAGATGTTATTAGTGTTGNGATATATATATATTGCCATAAATACGCACATATTGCTTATATCGCAAATATTCCCCCTTAACTATCCCGAATAGAAATGAACCTTCAGTCTAGATCCATCTACGAAAGCTCTGGATCCAGCCTTGATCCATTTAATGGATCAAAGCTGGATCAATTGTGTCTGCAATTGGGGATCAATAATAGATCCAGACAACTGTACTTACAGGTAATTGATCAAAGACGGATCCATATGCTGCATTCGTTACAAGTTATTCAGCGTGTTATGTGTTATGAAAAGAAAAAGTGTTGAGATTGTTGAAGAAATTATAACGATGTAAGATGCGAAGATGTAATAGGTTAACGAAGTAACAATGATTATGATAAGAAGCCGTATGTAAAATCAATATTTATCGCTAATTTATCGCTCAAAGATCAGCTTATTGCCGATTTTGTTGCCGATCATTAAACGAGCCAAAACGCGATTTCTGTCGATCTGCATATCAAGCTAGCTGGCCACACGTGCGTATCTCTGACTAAGAGGCAGATAGCTCCACGGGATTTGCGCGATAATTTGTCGCTGAAAGATCAGCCTATTGCCGATTTTATTGCTGATCATGAAACGAGCGACAACGTGAGTACTGGCCACACGTGTGTATCTCTAACTAGAAGGCAGATAGAGAGATTAAATTGATTCTAGAATTTTTCGTTTTTTTGTCGCTCAAAAAACAGCCAAATATTGTATCTCTAGTTAGAATGCAGATATAGCTCGACGGGTTTTTCACCGTTCACGACGATGCGGTCAAGTATATATCTACCTAATACTATGATATGAAACATATGGAAGCCTTCTGCAAAAACTATCACCGTTCAGAATTTACGATCGACGGGAAGATCAATGAGAAAATCGACGCGGTCAAACATTTTTGTGGTTTTTATTGTTTAGGTGTCTTTGTGTGTGTGTGCGCGCCCGCGTATAGCTCGTGTATATATATATATATATATATATATATATATATATATACACATACACACACACATAAATGCTTAGTGAAAGTGACTTATGCTGACTCAACATGCTTTTAGGTTGTATACTAAAATCATGGTGGAAAATACGTCCGCATAATTCCTATTTTGTCCTCATAATAACCCTTTCGTAAAAAAATTATCCGCATAACTCACCATTTATGAACACACACATATAATACACGCACACACACACACATATACTATTGATATATATTTTAGTAGAACGTGAAGTTCGCATAAGTCATTTTTAATACGTGTGTGTGTGTGTGTTTATAAGAAGTGACTTGTCGGACTTCACGTTTTTCGAAAATATATATCAGTAACACAGTTTTGTCCTCATAATTACTCTTACATACATGTGATTGTCCGCATAAGTTACCCATGCACACACACTCACACACACACAATATTAGTGGGGCTTCACCCCCTGGCGTGCTCTGCCTGCTAACCCCCCGTTTTTAAATAAGGATGCTTACATGATGTAAAAATACAAGGTGTGGCGTTCCGAGGTCTCATTTTCGTGCCGTTCTGCGTCTTCCATTGTGACGCTATATTTGAGGGAGATGTGACATAGTGTTGGTATATACTTTATGAAGCCTTTGTTCTCTCATGGTCAATTATATGTACCTTTATGAAGATGCAAAAATAAAAATGGCATTTTTATACAAATAGACTGTGACAATTATTCAGAAACAAAAAATGTAATCTGGGATAAAAATTTTTAATATAAATTTTATAACATTTATAAATTGGAACAAATTGAGGAAATCATATGTCTTGTATACCGAATATTTAAAGAATAAGTTTTTACATAAACAAATGTTGCCTTTTTTAATTATAATACATGACATAAAGTATCAGAATTTTTAAATAGCACAGTTTTGTTACGTAAATTAAGTTAGTGTATTGTATTAAAAACAATGATTTATCTTTACGGTTTAGAATTGAAAAAGCTTAATTGGTAAAAGTAAATTCTTTTTTTTTGTTGGAAATTCAAAATGTTATAATTTTTGTTTTGAACAGAAATTGTGCATTAAGTTATTCACTTTTAACAAAAGTTTGATGTATATGAATTCTTATCATACGCATTAAAAACAATTATTTACAAATAAATTATTAATTAAACAATTTGTTAATATAATATTTATAAAATTTCTAAGTACTACAACTATAGTGTTGAAGAAATTTTGTGCATGTTTTTTGAATTCAGTATTCTTGTTTATTGTTTTTACTACGTACAAATCCAAGGAATTAGTAAAGGACAGACGGGTTTTGTTTTGAAAAATAACAATAATAATATTTTTATTAATGCTTATTAATGTTAATTTCCAAAACAGTTGGGAGAGAGGAGTTCTGTCTTTTTGCGGTTACGTAGGGCTAATGTCAAAAGCTTTTTCAACAAAATTTTTAATCTTTAAATCAGAACACTACTTGAATTTTTGGAAAAATGTAAAAAATCTGCTATAAATTTACAAAATTACGTTATTATAATATGTTTAAAATAATCTGGTGTATACATTTTATTCTTATGCTTGGCACAATAAAACAGTGTGGGGGAGTCTGTGGAGGTCCCAAAAAAACCTGAGGGCGACGGGAGGCGTGGAGAGGCTTAATACGATGCCAGAACATTTTAAACTATGTTAAAGTCACGTATAAAACGATCGAAATTTACCTTATTTTGTGGGGGGCTATTTTTAACAAATTTTTTTTTGTAGGGGCTGGGAGGGCGCGAGGGGACGTAGGTGGTAATGGTGACTGCCCCATACGAAACAACTATTTACTATAGTAATATATGCAAATTGGTGGGGCATTCTACACAACCCCCCACACC